GAACGAATGGCATCTCGCACACAAGTCTTCACAAGCCGTAGAAAAATGCGGTGCATTTGTTGCCGTTTCATGCCCGATGATGGATCTGCACATCTGCTGTGCACACACACGACACACGACACACACACGTACCCCAACGACACAATACGTTCATCTTCTCATTCATCAGTCCGTTAGCGTGGTCGATGCTACAACAAAAAGCAGCACACACGCAAACGCGCAGTCTACACTGCAAAATAACACCTCGATCGGACAATATTTTTGTCCCCCGCCTGGAAAACGTGGCTGCCGCCGTGCTGACAAACGTACAAGAAGAGATCTTTGCTCGCGGGTTGCCGTTGGGCTCTGCTGTAGTGTACACGCTTCTCTTGCGCATGTGTGGCGACTGGCGACGTGGCGACTGCGATACAAAGCATTGTACAACAATAACAACCACACACTTTGCCGTTTGCCCTCGCAGGCTGTGTCTGTGATTCTCTGGGACCCTTTGGATTCTCGGCGTTTCGGAAAATAAGTTTCGGGGTAATTTACATTTGGTTGGGCCATAATATTCCAGCAGCAGTCGCTTCAGGCTGACTCTTTATGGCTCCCCATAGTTGGACCGACGGATTTTTTTGGACAGGCCCCGGATTTCGACCAAAAGACAGACCTCTCACCACATCACCACAGAGTTCTCCCTCCATGATTGTCGGGTCGTCACCAGAACTTGAAGGCTGTACGCACCACACCTGTAGGCGTCTTTGAAGCTAGTGGTGACGGATTCTATACGATAGTTTGGCCAAACTATCGTTTAGAATCTCCTACGGATTCTCCACACGGATTCTTACTTTTGCTCACATGGATTGACATTTCTCAGCACACACAGACCCAACAGCAGTCACCACTAGCTTCAAAGACGCCTACAGGTGTGGTGCGTACAGCCTTCAAGTTCTGGTGACGACCCGACAATCATGGAGGGAGAACTCTGTGGTGATGTGGTGAGAGGTCTGTCTTTTGGTCGAAATCAGGGGGTGGGGGGGTATGCCCGTCCAAAAAAATCCGTCGGGCCAACTATGGGGAGCCATAAGAGTCAGCCTCATGCACCATTTTTACCACAAGCAAACGGACGGAGCAAAGAGCAAAGGATCACAATACAGTAGCGGCTACGGTTTAAGAGAGGGTCGGTACAAGCCAATTTCACTCTCTTAAATCCGGCTTTCTGTTATATCGTGTTGGCTACGATATAAGAGAGAATTTTCTTAAACAGAATCTCACTTTAAGAGAATTCTCTCTTATATCGTAGACAAAACTGAAGGTCGTGAAACAGGGGCTCTCGCGCACTGACTACACTCGAATGCCAAAATAGGTCATAAAGAGAGCGTATCATGCATGTCACTTGCGCAGCTAGCGTTACCACGTCGGGCTACCTCCAAACACCGCTCATTCTCTTGGTTGGCAAGCACGTGGACCCAAGCACTGCTGTACGTTGTACGCTTTTGGTGGATCTGCGTTCGGAAAAATAAAACATCGTCGTGTGATGCGATGCACATCTTTGCACGTGGACACGTAAAAGGTTTTGGTTGAGTTGTTTTATAGCTGGGTTTCATAGTTGCACCTCTTCTAGAAGGAAAACACGAGGCGACGAATGCACCAGCACTCAAGAACGACGCACCCGTTTACACACTGCACCTTCCTCCCACCGTACCCTCAACATATGTAACACCCTCATACCTCTCATCCCATCGATTTGAACCCCCGACAAAAACACGAGTCAACGAACAAAAAACAGCTTCACAATATCAAAACATCACTCGCCGTACAAATAACACAAACCCAAGAAACCAACGCTACCCTGGCGACCTGTCAGCCTGAACACGATCTGCGCTGCAACCGTCAAAGGAAGTCGCTCATGCACGTCTGCTTGGTTTCCCTCGAACCGTAGGCACTCATCCACGCTAGCTTAGCCTTGCGGAGGTGAAAAGACACTTCGGACATGCGGCACTTCTCGGCAGTATCCTCAAGGTCACCAAAATGATTTGCTACATTCGCGTACGGCGGCGGAGCCGGGGCCGCTGCCGCCGCCGACTGTCCCGATTGGCGTAGCTCAACCAGGTCGTCGTCCTCGTCGTCAGAGGAAAGATCCATGCCCACCAAATTCTCATCACAGAGGCCCTCTACCATCTCTGTAACCATCGCTTCGGCTACCTCCACGTTGTCCTCTACAGCCTGAAGTCATGCGCTCACGGGAGGAAAGGCAGTTGTGGCAGATGCGATGCATCTCGGAGGTGCCCTGAGGGTCCACCACACCACAGGTGCCATGGAGGTACTGCCTGCAGACTCCTCTACATTGGTGGTTTGTGAACGCCGGCGGGCCTGGCGTGTGATCGGGGACAGCCGTGCAGCGACTGCCCGCCACGCAGGGCATGGTGTCTGCAGCTGTGTGGGTGTGTGTGTCCACGTGGTTTCCACATTGTTCGATTTAAGAGAAAAATCCCAGCTGCAAAAGGAAATTTCTCTTAAATCGATTGTTATTGGTACACGCCAATTCCTCTCTCTTAAATCCGTAGCCGCTACTGTACCCAATAAACACGAAATCACAAATAATATACCAGCATACTCATACACCATCGCTTGTCTGGGACACACAGACCAGCAAGCGTACAACCTTTGATCATCTCAACCATCCACTCTGCTGCTGCATTCTGATTGGCCAAAATATGAAAATTGTTCTTCCGCGTCTCCCAAAAATGTCCCGCTGTAGAGAACACCCCATCTTCATCTCTCACGTCACCCAAGCGCGAGGGAAAGGAGCAAAAGCTCACTTAGAGTGGCTTAGTGAGAGAATCCACGCTCGACAACTACTCGGGTGAGTCCCACACTGCCCATGTTTAACACAACTGTGGTTTGCAACCTCTCCCCTGTAGATGCACGCGGCTACACGCTACACGCTGCTGCCTGCTGCGAGCGCTACGGCGAGAGGTATTACATACAGCAGAGAGGAGTAGCTTTGTTTGTTTGCTCTACGTATAGGCACCCCCGGTCAACTCGCATAGTCACCATTACCACCAATGAAGAGCAGCACCGCACCACAACCACCGGCCCTGCTTGATCACGGCAGTCTTTTGGTGCTTTGAGAGCTGCGAACCCAGATGAATGTTTTGATCCAGATTTGATTCTGTACCCATGATTCCCTCCAGTCCTTGCCAGTTCCGACCAAAAGTGGAACCACTGCTGCCGCTTGCTAGCAGGCACTCCACAACCCTAGGGGTTGCGAGGGTCTTCAAGACCACAGCACTATCTTGCTTTTAAATTTGTATGCAAGAAGGCGGTGGGTAACGGACGGGGGACCGGACCTGTCTGTGTTGACAAGAGCCGCCTTTCGGTGCCTTTCGCACTCACGCTCAAGGCGGAGCTACATTTGGACACAGGAAAACAGCACCCGCCCCTGCTGTTGCTCGTCAACAACCCCACAGCAGTTCGCCGGGGCCGTATCGCAGTGTACACACAGGAAATGCAGGATCGAGCTCCAACAATTGAGCAGACGCTTCTTCTTCGAACCACAGCAGCTCCACACCTCCACCCCGCCGGTATGCATCATCATCGGCATGGCCAAGTTGGCATGGCATGAATACATTTTTTTTTCTTTTTATCGACACGTGTTGAATGGTTGTCTCGGAGTGCGAATCTCGGCTCATTCGTGCTTCTTGTCGCCTCATCGAAAAGTCCAGCGTCCAGCGGCGTGCCGGCAGCCTCAAATCTTTCTGCGTTCCGTCCCCGGTCACACTTGATTTGTTTCGGATTTTGGGAGGGCATGCGGCCTGGCAGCCCGGCTCGTGCAATACGCACACAGGATACAGCAGACGACACCAAAGGCAGACTGAGCTACTGTAGCTGCACCAGTGAAAATCGATGAAACGAGATTGGTCCATACCTACATGTCTGCCTTTGACCGACACCGTTCGTTGTACTGCTGTAGACTGTGGACACAGCAGAAAATTAGTCCCGAAATTGTACGTACTACCTGCACAACAAAATATGAGAACAACGAACACACACAGCCTGGTACAGTCTTTCAGAATAACACCGACACTCCCATTGGCTTTGAAGCTTTTTTTTCTTGGGAGGTGACAACAAATAAATACATGTAGACACACAGCAGTCTGCAGATTTAGAAATTGACCAAGAGAGCACCCACCAATCAACGACGAGATGCAGACACCACCCTGGAAAGCGCGGCAACAAAGTATTTCGTCCGTTGCCGCAGCGGTTGGGGTTCGCAAATTTTTACCCAGTCTTGTCGTATGCACAGCTGCATACGACAGAGCGAAGCACAGCTTGAGGTACCGTGGGTGTTCCCCCCCGCGCGCGCTCCTGTGAGCTGTTTTATTTAATCCCTTTCCCAGGTAAAGGAATAGGCGGAGGTGTGGAAGCCAGGATATACAGTAGATGTCTTCGTAGTGGCATAGACATACATCCGACCAGTAGAGATCTGGAAAACAAAGGAATCACTTATGGTGCGAGGGTTTTCACAGAGAGAAAATGCGCCGAATGCTGCGAAAATCCGTGCCCACGATGCCCTTGCAGTGTGATGATGCTCCTAAGCTTCTGAAAGACCAAAAACTAGGGAGTAGGACCTCTCAACGTCAGTATCCCTCCTCGCCCCCCTCTCTCTCACCTTGTGATCGAATAGAACTTACTGTAGTACTCTCAACCTCCCTGTTTCTGTGAACTTGTTGGGACGGCATTCAACCGAACGACAGGAAGCCCGCCTGGCGATCCGCGCATGTGAGGGGGAGGTATGGGGGCGACGGGTCTAACGGGCTCCAAGATAAAGAAATGGGCTCCACGATCGGTGCAGGTAGGCATCAAACCCCTCCAGCCAACATGCCTGCAAGGATAATTTTCGACGCCGAGGGGCTTACACTGGCGCCCGAAACGCCACGAGTCTATTGACCCCAAGGTGGAGGTGTTGCACCGTCCCCACTTTTCCTGCGAAGGTCTGATTGATACCCCTAGGCAGGATGGCGGGTGAGTTAGCAGGGCGAACCTTGATGACAGGTCTTGTGGAAATATCTGTTGACACGCATCGTGTGCTTTGTATGAGGTTGGAATGCATCCACAATGCCGACACTACCACAACGCTTACGAAAAATCGGTTGGTTTTCTTGTTGCAGCGAGGCCAATCGTGGAATCAAAGCCGACTCGCATGCTGCCTCGTGTGTTGGGAGATTCTTAGCACCACATACACCGGAGGAAACATTGATAACTCGCGGTAGACGTTTTTCGTTGACGTTTCGCCCGAACGCGCGGCGCAGGGCCTCTTGCTGACGATGGTGTTCGCTCAGAACTCGTTGGCAATGCCAACAGCCCTAGATGAGAAACTTCCTGTCATTGAACATAGAGGCGGAAGGGGGGATGAAGCAGCGGCAACACCAACAACAATAGTGTCAGGGCGAGATGGGTCTCGCCAAAACCGACCACGACGGAAAGAGTACCCATATTCGCGAACACACCACCGACGGCATCAACAGTGGCGGGCCGAGCAGGAGGAAACTCCATACGCCCCAGTACCATCACGGAACTACCGCAACCAGCAGAGGTGGGGGCGAGAGTACCGAAAGCTGGACAGAACAACAGAACGGGATCCAGGGCTCTCCTTGGGACCACAGCTCCCAGAGGATGAGGACAGTTCGTTACCACAGATTTACCGGGCTCCCACCGACCCTCCCACCAATGGTTCGTGTCCGGTTGCCGTCCACAACTCCAACTCTGCCGCTTTAAATGAAGACCGAGATAGCGCCGAGCCGTCCACTGTGATCGTCGGCGCCTTTCCCGTGTGGGCTAGGCTGCAACAGGCCGCAACCGTATCGTCGCGACTGCGATGTCCGAGCCCGCCGTGCTGCCTTGTGAGTGTCGGACCTACATGCCACACCGTTGTGGATATCAACACTACTCATACATTGATGTCGAGTATGTACCTGCGGCTCGGCTGTTAACTCATTCGTAGACTAATTTGGCCGGAGAATCTCATGCTCACGTTTACGTATCTCGAAACACACACATGTGGTGCTCCTTTCCTTTTCAGCCACACGCTCCGTAGTTTCGCAGGGGAGATGATTGCGCCACAGCACGATGCCTCTGCGTGATGAATCCCAATCGAAATGAAGTGCTCTCGCCTCCTTCCTCCCTCCCTCGGCAATTATCAGATACGCACGCGCACGCGTGTATTGCAACACATCCCAATCCGTTTGTAGCACATCGCGTCATTCTCCGCTCTCTCTCTCTCTCTCTCTCTCTCTCTCTCTCTCTCTCTCTCTCTCTCTCTCTCTCTCTCTCTCCCTTTCTCTTTCTCTTTCCCCTCTTTCCCCCTCCTTCTCTGCCTTCTGCAGGGGGACCACGTGCACACGTATCGGGGGGGCGACCTCGGAGAGGAGATGTCGCACGTCCGGGGAACCGTTGTGGTCCGCAGGCCCGACCTGGCGAGAGCTCCCGGAACGCTGGCGCCTGCCTACGACGTGGACTTCATTAGGACGTTTCAGTCCTACTTCCCTATCTCGCAAAGCTCGCTGCTCAGGTGCGTTGTTTCTCCGTTCCATAGTCGCATGCTCGTGAGTACGCGTGAGCGAATACGTGAACGAAACACGGTTGGACTCTTCTCTCGCTTCAAAATGAAGGTGTGCACTGCAGAGTAGTTTTTGTGTGTGACCCTGGATCGGAGGTCTTCGGTTGGAGGACCAAGAACATGGGGTGGCGTAGAAACTGCGAGCGAGGCGATTAATGGATGGGATCTATGATAAACACTATCGCGGCCCACCGATGGGTGAGATGTGGGTGCACGTAGCACGTCCACCAGTACCCAGGCAAGCTGTACATTTTTCGGATCTCGCAGCGCTCAAGGCTCGGGTATGCCTTTACCATATTCCTGTTGTAATTGGCGCGGGTGCTCTAAACGCCATTCTGTCGGCTTACAAGAACGCGTCACTCGGTTGTTAACCGGCATGAAAAACGCCTCTTCCATGGGAATGCCACGGTGATTTCTTCTCTTCACACACAAGTGTGGAACGATGCACGTAGCCGTCCTTCCCAGCCTAGCTTCATTTGCTCGTCAACTCCGGCCAGAGACTCATTTCTTTGCATTTTCCTTGCACCCAACCTTGCTCTACTAACGTGTTGGAAGCAGGCGATAGTACGTTGGCTGGGTGCCGTTTGCGTTGTTGCAGGAGCGCAGTTACGGCTGCCCTGGCACAGCCTTCCTAGCTCCTTCTCGTAGCCTGTTCAACCATGCCATAACCTTCTCAGCATTTTCCACCTGCGCTGTGTTCAGAGCTGCTGCTTCCGTGCAGCCTAATGCTTATTCTTTTGCGTGCGTTTTGTTCACCACAAACCTTCTGGAACAGAGGAATGCTCACGGCTGACGAACAGAATATGACATCCACGACCAAACACGCACTTCCGAAGTTCCCCGAGCTACTTGGAGTCACTTCATTCCTAGGCGCCGTTCGCGAGGGCAACCCTGCTGCGGCAGAGTGAGTGACGTCAACGACTGGTTCACATTCATCGAGCAAACTTGTTTTTGTCCGTTGTCTGAAGCGGGTTCGAGGTGCGAGATGACAGCTTGGTAGTTGTTTTTGCTTTTTTCAAGGCACCGGGCGGCCGGGGCGCTGCTCCCCTTCCGCTCCGTCCACTGGCAAGCCTGAAGGGCTCGATCGAGATGGAAGCAATGATGGTACGTACCTAGGTCCAATGACAACCGTTAGGGGTTTGGGGGACGTATACACGTGCTAAAAATCATCGTGGAACGGGCGAGGGCCGGGGCAAGAGCTGCGGTGGCAGGTTTGTCCGTGAGCGGTATGCCAACAATAGAGAGTAAGTAGTCAAGTGCCAGGCTGCAACTTAAACAGCCAAGCCGAAAGCAGAGGCTTTGCCAAACCCTGGCACCTGCCATCCCCTTCCGGATGATGCAAGTGTTTGTGCGTTGTGTTGGTGCAAGACAGCAGTCAGCGTGAGTGCGTGGGGTGGACGTTGATTGGGCAATTCGTCGTGCGCATCGTATCTCTCGCGATTGCTCTCTCTGCCGGCGGATATCGATGCGTTGTTTGCGCGTTTACACAACAGAAAGACTCGTGGTTGTGGTGCACTTCTTTTTGGAATGAAGCGCGACTTCTGTGTACAAAATGACAATCGGAAGAGTTCCAATTCTCGCCAGATCAGGGCGCATTACCGAACGGCCCGGAAGAAATTCCGGAGACAGTAGCCGCGGCAGCATGGGATACCCAGGGCGTTTTGTGACATGGCAGGATGACCGTGGGCATTGGACGATTGTGCTAGGTCCAGTCACGCTGGTCCCCATTCCCAAGCCTATCGACTCCTGTGATGCTCGTTTTTTGTTTCATGTGATTGTTTTTTCCAATGACTGCGTCACCTGTTCGGGATAGGTTTCAGAGGGTTTGTGTTGGATTCATCACAATGAGAGTGACAACTTCTACATAGAAAATTTCCGTCTGTTTATGTCCTTTTTCTGAGAAACAGTGACGCACGCCGTGACTCTCTTTGGAGTGCAGTGTATTTGATACGTACCGTGTGTTTATTGCGCCCGTTGAACTTTCTTGCGTAACCGCCACACCCGAGCAAGGCTGTTGACCCCGTACTGTTCGGGAGACGACCCAAGGCAAGACATCGACGATTGCGTGAGGATCCCTACGTTGGTCAGCATGGCAGATGTGTACATAAGCAGGAAAGGGGCCGTGTGGAACAAGAATGTGAGGAAGATCATCTTGGTAAAATTGTGCTCGTACTAGACGGAGGAAGCGATCTTGTAATCTCCTCTCTGCGATTTTTTTGCTGAGCAAGTGCCATCGCTCCGGTGATCTTACGGCTACATAGGTTGAGAGTTCTAGTTCCGGCGAGGTTAGGTTGCACGCTTGGAATAGGGCCACTTAGGTCGCATGCTTCGAATAGGGCCACTGTAGATGCGAGCACTTCGAAACGGTTTTGGGTTACAATCACCAAGGCAGGTTTGCACACAGCAGAAAATTTGTTCAGGATGGCCCAGATCGAAACTCTTGAGCTAGAGAGGCAAGGCCGCATAACGTTAATACAATCTTCCAGCGACGGTACACTGATGGAGCATTGAGAGAGACACAGAGAGAGGATGAGCAGGAGGGGGGGGAGACAGGATTCTATCCCTTTTGTGTTACTTGGCGTAATCAGGTTGAAGGTAGTGGCAATCTGCTCTTGTTCGTCGTGACAAAACCGTCGTGACTTCTTTTTTTTTTAGACCCCCCGCGCGGCGCCGGTATTTGTTGTATTGGGGATTGGCCGGGGGGCAAACTATCTGCGCTCTTGTCTTGTGTTCGGAATGTCCTACTAGTGGTCTGGAGCGTCACAGGAAACACGGAGATGTTGCTTCAAGTGACTGTGTTTTGAACGGTGCACTTCGAGCATCAGTGTCTTGAGCGATGGACGTATTGCAGGTGTTCACGACCAACTCCAACCGAATATCAATATTCTGCTGACGAAGAATCCATGTCCCCCCTTTCCATTTTTTCTATACCTCTCCGGACTGGGCGATGGGTCTTGTAACTTCGCCCGACCTACCCGCCCCTCGCAGGACTACATTTTGCCGCTTAATTGCGCTACGGCACACAAAAATGAGGGAAGGGGCTTCAAAGAAAACGCCGTCGGACCTATACCGAGTTACGTCAAGCGCTACGAAAAGGTAAATGCGACTTACAACGTAGTTTATCCTATACATGTGATATATATGAAGAAAAAAAAACATGTAAGGGTCATTCCACGACGGGGGAAAGGCCCATATTGTAGCATGGTGGGGGGTGCCGCTAATGGGGCGGCGTGTTTTTTGTTTCGCGTACCAACGATGTGCACAGTGAAGCAGTACGGTGACGGCAAGCACGACGGTAGCGTCGGAAGGTGATACTCTAGACACGATCCCTATTGATGAATTTCTAGCGTTGATGTTTCGTATGAGCTTTGCGTGGTAGTACAAAAGGAAAGGAAGCAATTCTCTTGTTGAAACCATCTGACTCTGAGAACTCCCTGCCTGCGGCCATCAACAGCTGGACACGATGTCAGAAGAGAAGACTGCTGTGTAGGAACTCTTACATCCCTGAGTAGTTTCGGGTGACAAAAAGCAGAGTTGCAAAGCATCACAACGTGCAGGCCGCCCACCGCCCCCTCCTGCATCAGGTTTTGCCTGCACCACGCGACAGTGTAGACATGGTAGTACTGCCACAACGCACGATACACGTTGCACCGGTGGGAGGAGGGTGTTTAGCGCAACACGCATTCAGTTTTGCAGCCAATCGTGCAATCCCTGTGTATTCTCGAACTGGCCACGTGTGGTGCGTGCTCTTCATCTACTCTCCACCCGTTCATCGCGCCGATCGTGCCTCTCCCTCCCGCTTGTCTCTATTCGGCCATCGCACCGATGTTTACCACACTGTGGCTGCCTTAGGTGTTCGTGATGACCCAAGACTGGGGCCCGAACTACTACCACTTTACGGTGGAGCATCTGCCGCGGATCACATTGGCTTTGGATATCCTTCTTAGAAACCCAGATATCATGGTGGGTGTTGCCGAAGTGCCTCCCGATTCTATTTTGAACGTCTTTTCTTTCGTTTGATGGGCATCCCATTTACTCAAGGTCCCTCAAAATTTGTGTCCAGTAGGTGGACAAACAGCGCGTACTTGTTTCTGTTAGCCTTGCCTTTTGGGGTGGTCGCGAGCCTTTTTATCTTGCCCCGACCACTCCCCTCTTTGAACTCTAGAGCTCAGATCCGGGGCCATACACAGGAAGTCCTCTGCAATGCATGCATGCCCTCATTTTTCACATGCACACAAGAAGATATGCCCGTAGACGAGCGTGGTGTTGCGTTCGTCTTCGCGCTGTGCTGATCTGGATGCACCACACCTCCTCCCAGGGTCGTATCCTCGTGGCCAAGTCAACGCTGCGCCCAGCAGACTTGTTTCTTGTCCTTTGGTGGATGCATATAGTGCGTCCCCGAACCTGAAAAATATAAAATACCCGAAACAAAAACAAGCCACATCCAACCCAAAGTACGGTATAGTGTTCGCGCATGGCTGGGCCGTAAGCCGGCGGATTCAACAGCAACATTTTGCGTTGCGCATTGGTGCTTATTTTGTAGTGTCGGCTTGTGTCAGCAACAGTCCTCGGGTAGCAGAAGCGAACATAAGATGGATGGTGCGTTTCGTTAGAGTAGAAATATGTGCGCAACAGAAACAAGACGCGCTGTCATTTTCCGCACGGTCGCCGGTTTTACTCTCCCACGCACTCCATTTTCATGGCCTGAACGTTTGGTTGCAGGCTTCAATGATGGCACGCTGCCACAGTACCCGATGTCAATATGTGCGTGGCAGTATTTTCTCCAAGTGTTGGCCCGCGGCATCAGCCGTCCCACATGGAATACATGTTTCTCTTCGTCCCGTGCCGCTGCTGTTTGCCCGATGAACCTGTCGCCCGTTTTGATCATCGATTGGCTAAATATTGCAGCAATGCGACACAACATTGACGTGAGGCTCTTGTTGACGTTCCCCGTGTGTCTTCGAACAACCGCCTTCAGATCGCAGTACACTTCCACGATACCGACCATTGGCACGACACTTCCACAGAGCTCGAAGCTCATATGGGCATGTTCGAGATTCTGGGGATCAGCAGAGAGCGCATCATTCTTGTCAAGACAAGGGTGCGAAAAAAAACACATGATGTCGGTGGTGATTGTTTTGGTTGCCGTTGTTTACTGCGGGACTTGGCTGATGGCCAGTCGAGTGTCTAGTCTACAAACAGACCAGGCAACACGAACGTTTCTGGTGAAATCGGGTTTAAGAAAAGGCTGATATATCAGACATTCTGGAACAACCCAAGACTGGTCATAATCTCAATCTGGTGCGTCAAACGTTGACCAAGGTCGCCTACGCGAGCTTGCCAAGCTCCGTAGACTCGGAGGAAAACATCAGCTATTGAAATTACCAGGATTGCGGAGATTCCGCAAGCGATTTGAATCCGAAGGATGTACCCTTACGCACAGCCTTCACCGCACCCCGGACTCATGTGGCGTGCAAGACGGTTCTTTGCAATATTATTGTCCAAATAAAGTGATGCTTGTCGTACGTGTAGCCGGTTAGCGCAGTTCTGATGCCTACTTGCCAACGAAACACCCAAACAATCCCGCCGCGTTCGTTGCAGCGATATTTCCCACCTTTCCGCCGACTAGCACGGCTAATTGACGCTCACCCATGCAGAGTAACAATGGGTGGCTTACTGGTTGATACTTCATTCTCTTGGAACGCTCAATCCGCGACACTTGACTTTCTCCGTCCCTTCCAACCCAGATCCATGCAGATTTAGTGATTGTGCCGACTACTACTGTTTGCGGCGACCCGGACGCTCACATGGTCAACATGCTCAGGAACAGATTCCTGCAGGTCGGCGGCGAGCGAAAAACCGTTTAGTGTTTGAGGGGGTGGGGCAAGGATAATCTTGATGCTGTTCGTCGCGCTCTCTGCTGGAAGCTTCTGTTCGAAATTCTTTTCGAGGTGTTCCGCTCTTACTCCAAGCTATAGGGCATTGTTTTGGTGCGTGTTTCCCTTTACTGTTTAGCAAACGTGTTGATTGCTGTGTGTGTCGTACACCTTGGAAGGGGTTGACCTCGTCTCCTGACGACAAATCACATGAAAACCACGACATCCGTGCTCGCTGTCTGTGCAGGGTCTTTTCCCGACCACGGATGGCGTTCCTCCTGCGCCACCCCGCCCGGTGATCGTGCTCGTTGTGCGCACCACATTGCGGGGCCTGAAGAACAACGAGGAGGTAGGTGTGCACACGCAAATGTTTGCTCATCGCAACGACATGACTGCCGTTGCTTTTCTTTCGGGTAGCCGATGGAGGGCGGCCATCCCACAACCTCCTGTGGCAGCTGATACCCGGCACAACGTTGCTCAATGTGCGTTGGCTACGCCACATACACATATATATGCGTGTCAATCTTGATAAACAAAGAATTACAAATGGGTAGCAAATGTTAGGAAATGGAAGTGCATGCTTAGCCGGTTCAGAGTCGGTCCGCGAGCGAAGCCTGGAAATTCCAGAGGTGTCGAAGGACAATTGTGCCGTATGATGACGAGGTTCTCCAACGTATTACGCTTTTTCCTCATTTTCTTGTTCATCATCCGAAAGGGCAAGGACGGTGGGGCTTGAGTAAATCTGTGCCGACTCTCACGAAACTCGTAGCGCGCAAGGTGGATTGGGGAAGCCCGTAGCCAGGGCACCCCAAGTAGAGCATGTCGTTCGTAGTTTTGTATATATAATCCCGATCGCGGCCAAATCTTGGAGTTTTTTTCTCTATGCATAGGACTTGGCATGTTTTCTCTAGTTTTTTTTTTAATTCAAGTCTGGTAATAATGTCCGATGCGATCCTACGCTTTTGAGTAACACGGAAGGATATCGGAGAGTTCGATACTGTTCGATAGCAATACGACCAACAACGAACCGTTGATCAATCGTAGGTAAGAGAGGCCCTGGAGATGAACTTTCCGAGCTTCGACGTGGTGGAGTTCTTCGGCACAGATCCCGTCCGAGATCAGCTCAAGACCTTCGCAAGCGCAGCCATGATCATAGCTCCCCACGGAGCCGGGCTTGCCAACATGGTCGTCGCGCCACTGCACACTCCGGTGCTGGAAATAGCCCCGATAAGGTGCCCCCCCTGCTTCTTGAGGCTCGCGTTGAAGGTACGCATATGATTGTAGAGTGTGTTGAAGAGTGCAGCACTGGTGGTACTTCTCTCATCGCTGACGTTGACTTTGACTACGAATATGTATCAACGTCGACGCTTGAACAAGTGGTGATTGTTGCTGGTGTGTGTGCTGGTGCGGAGTGCGACGGACGGCACCGCATCGGCGTGTTTTACTGAACGTGGCAGAGAGTGCTTGCCATGTCCTGACATTTGTATTTCACTCCCAAGCATTTGACTGCTTGGTAGGCCTTCTACCAGTGAAGAATGAACCTGCGAACACGTCAGCTACCACGCCTCATGTTGTTGCACGGTGAGAGTTGCTTGTAAATGGTGTCGACTGCCCAGCAATTTCCTGTCCTCTCCTCACGTTGTTTTCCTGCAACCAACCTTGACCGAACAAAAGCTTCACCATGTCTACGCGAGGCATCCCGGAGGCAAATGGACAAAACGGTGTCAGACATGGTACAAGACAGACGTCGACGAAATTGTCACCCTCGCACGGTGAGCCTACAGCCTATTTTGTGATATTTTTCTGGTGTTCGGTGTTTTGATCGCATCATGCTGCTTTTCCACATTCGAATCCGGTTCTAACCCAAAACTGCATCTCACTGCACCCACGCTTACCGTCGAAAGGGCTGAAAATTGGCTTCGATTGTCAGCAGGCATTTCTCGAAGGTTGTCGGAGGGAGCTAAGTTTGATCCACAAGAAATCGCAAGATTCGGTGCATATGACTACTTTCGTCGGATAGCGTAGGGTTCAGGAGTGCCAAAGAGAGCTCTTCGGCGAATACAATTGTCGTCGGAATCACTGAAAGCAACAGCGTGTTCCAAAGCCTCGGCCCCCAAGGTGGTTGGGACGGAAGGGATCCATTGAGCCGTGGTAGGTTGCACCAGCCAAATATCGATGAACCTGTCCCTCTCGGTAAGGTGTCGCGATCAACGATTCGTGGTCACCTGCTTGGGTATCAATCAAATCTTGTGTCGGGTGAGTGTGGTCTTGGTCTACCACACACTTGAACTTGCACTTGTCGAGTGTTGAAGTATGAATTTTCCCGAAACCGTTGCTTGCTTGCTTCATCTGACACAACGTTGCAGGGATCTCCTCGAAGGGAAACGCCAGGCAGACGATGCCATGGAACTGTAGGCAGCAACAGACGCACATGAATCCCAGCCGTAGTTGCCGAGGCAGAGTGACCGCGACGGCCCGCCACTAGTGCCTCTGTGAAACTTATTTACGAAGGCCCGGGTAAGAATTGTGAGGGGCAGAGAGTATCCATGACCGGTTGCTTACGATTTATGTCGGAGACGTCGCGTCCCTGCACAGCCGGGACGGAACGCCTCAAGGTTTCGCCACGTCGTATAGGGGAGCGGGGGGGCTCTTCGCCCGCTGCAGCTGAGCCGAGGACGAGGTCGTCTCCGAGATCCCTTGGAGGCATGTCGTCGCCCTCCTGCGTAGCGGTGCACACTCCTGCGATCCGAGAAATGCCTAGATACTTGGGTTGACAACGCAAAAAATGTTGTCTGGTGTAGGTCACGCATCTCTCTTTTCGACTCGTGTTGCTTGGGCTTTATGTGTGTGGTCGTTGGTTACATGTTTCCTTCAGTGGTGTTGACCGCGCGAAACAGATGGCCAAGGAAGGTATGCCATTTCTAGCTGATCAGTTGTTGTTTGTGTGTGTTGGATGTATCGACCACCCCAGCCAGCTAGCCTTGGAAGACGGAAGTCTTTGGTGGACTAGCTAGGCACAACAATGCGTCCGATTCTGAGGGGTCCCCGGTGGGTGTGTTTGGGCGTTCACTAAATGTTACTTCTACTGCTGTGGTTCGCATTTTATTGCCATCGATCGCGCTAACCGGCTGAATATTGAAAAGCGTCAGCCTTAGACTAGTGTGAGACAAAAACGGGTAGAACGTGGGTATATCTCGAACGTGTAGCCTTTCTGTGTGTGTATGTATTTATTTTTCCTAATGATGCGGTTTCAGGACATCCGCTACGACATTGGAAGTAAGTAGCCAAATCCCCCCCGTAACGCTGCACCATTGCACCAACCCCCCATAAGTGATGACGTACCATTACAATGTATCGCTGGTTGGTGGCGATGTTTGCGTGTTTGCTTGTTCGTTAGTGGTCTCTCCACCGTGTGCCTTTTTCTGCCTCTTGTTTCTTGTTATTTTTGGCCTGGTCCCTTTTTGTCCTCGCTGTTTTTCATTTTTATTTTCATTTTATTTTCTCTTTCCTTGCTGTTTCCTTTTTCTCTCTGTTTTCTCTTTTTCTCTCTTTTTTTTTCTCTCTTTTTCTGTGCCAGATGGCCTTGTCTCTGCTTGCGTTTTGTGAAGTACCAAGATTGAACCAAGGGGGTGTACCTCTTTCTCTCCGGCCCGTGATAGTGACTCCTATAGTCTCAGTTGATTCCTCGCATAGCGCGCAGAGGGAGTGGAGGACTCCAGAATATCTGTCGTTGATTTCTATTGACTTGCGGACCCCTCGGGGCCAGTTTATTTGAGTGTACCTTTTTAGGGTAAGTTAACCTGTGACCACGGGAATGGACCGCGTCGAGTGTTGGATCAGTACGGACATATGAAAATACTGGATAGAGAGAGACCGGGACGGTTTTTAATGTGAAGACAACAACAACAACAACAACTGCCGTTCTGCCTGCGTATCCACGTCGCGACTCATGGGCATTACCCATGGGTGCCCGTGGGTACCCATGGGTACCCAAACTCGGTTGTTGTACAGCAGTAGTCTAATCGAGATAGAGTTGGCCGCAACTCAAGAAGCCTCCCAGAGCTCTCGAGGGTGCGAATTGCACGACGAATACCGCCTGCTCTAGCTGATACCTAGCATATGTGGATGATGTGCGCTCTCGTCAACATATGCATAGCTTCCTCCAAAACCTACACCATCACTCCTGCCGTAATCGGGCTGCAGTTATCACTCCATTTATTTCCTGCCACGTGCGGGCCGCAGACGCTCGCTGAAATCCTTCGTGTTTCCTGGAAATTTATGTTTGGATCGGTTTGGACCCAACGGCAGAACGGGTAAACAAAGGGGAACAAGTGATGAATTCCGAGTTCTCTGTTCTCTGTTCCCTGTTCGCTGTTCGGTCTATTGCACATTGTAGATGTACGTTGGATATGTCAAGACACGACCGCCGTATATGACACAAGATAACACACCCCCTGGACCAATTTTCAAAGCTCGATTACGCCACGACGAAGAGGATGTATAATGAAACAATACATTTTCGGAACACTCTCGACGAGACAGCTTCAACGCCACCGTTTTCGGCGCTGCGACTCTTTCTGTTGTTAAGAAATTGAGATTTGAAAATCGGTCCGGTTGTGTTGTGTCAAGTAAGTCTACGCTTGCAACATGATCTTTTGTTCCTACACGGATAGATGACAAGAAAAATAGAAATAGAAAAAAAAAAAATCGATAATCACAGGAACCACACCCACACCCGCCCGCCGATATCCATGTTCGCCTGTAGACCACTGCTGTGTACTCCGGGCACCCGGCCACCCGGAGAGCAGAGGAACGGGGAACAGGCGCAGGAACTGCCACACGGGCCACATCTCTATCCGCCCGCGGATGTCTGCTCTGACGCTCTGACACTCCCGTCTCCCATCGTCGTCATACGTACCAGTTGCAGCGAGCGGAGGGACTATCCAAGATACTCTCATTTTTTCAAGTGGAAACTGTACTTCTACAGCGTTCTACAGCACGTCGCTCACAGGCTGGTGCAGGTGACAGGCTGGTGAGGTGCGAGATGTGCGCGTTGCATCATCACTTGTTGTATGCATAGCATCGACCGCGCAAACCGGCTGATCCGTGAAGAGACATCAGTGCCAGCAGGGGCAAAGCCAACGGGGGTCAAAACTCGAAAAGCCTCCTGGTAAGAATAACACGCATGATATCATGGAACAGCGCCACCCAAAGGATCTGAGGCGTGTAGAATACAAGATCCCAAACAACCTTCATCGCACGCAGACAGGAAGTTGAACAAGCCTCACCGACACATACGCGCATGCCCCTTCCATCTACAACTGCCATGCGTCGACGCTCTCGTACGCTATTGGCTACAGAGTACAGCCGTGACGCCATACATGGTCACCGAGACATGCCACGGCAAACTGGACCCGGGAGTATGTATGTAGAATGTTGTTCCGTACCGACCGTCACACACACAAACACAACACCGACTACAGCTGTCTACGCGAAGTAAGCAGTATACCCCACCCGACCCCGCCCATCTTGCATGTACTTGCATAAATTAGGATAATGATACTCGACGCACACCGAGGTATGTACAACAGATACATGTCCATAGCGCCCGCACTAAATAACTTGGTGCAGAACTTCGTGCTCACTGCTGTGCGTTCTACCAAAAATTCTACCAAAAATGGAAGAACTTGAAACCTGAGCACCATTTTTGAGCCCGGTAAAGCCCCCGACATTGTGTAGACTACTTGTGTCGAACGTTGTAGCGACCAAGTGTAGGCCACAAATAAGGAGAGCTGAGAAACCCAGCCTCACAGTCAAACCTTGGTTTATAGCTGTCATGTATACGATGCATTCATGTGCCAAAATTCTAAGTACTTCCTTCCACGATTTGGCAATACTACACAGCAATGAAACCGCACGTGCACGCACGCACATCTTATACAACAAACGATACACGAGGTTTTCGGCCCTTATTGCCACCGCCCCCCCAAAATTGAGTGTTTTCAAGACAACACGCTCGACATAGAGCGCAGGGCAGGAACTCGATGAAAAAAGCGCATGCGCATGCAGATAGATATATAGGATATGCAGTTGTCTGACTCTAGACCACACATACATGTACACCATCCATTGGACGATGGCGGACGTGGTTTTTTTGTTTGTGCTGGGTTTTGGTGTGCAATAGTTTCCGCTACATACAGTATTTTTCGTAATGCACCCATGGGCCGCCCATGAACTGCCCAAATACCCATGGACAGTCCGTGATGGCCTGCCCATGGGCAAACCCATGGGGCGGCCCACGGTGGGCACCCTGTGGGCAGTTCATGGGCAGCCCAAGATCCATGGGCAACCCAGGGACTCCAATGAGCGCGCTTCAACCGGGACCAGCATAGACTACTCCTATATATAGAAAACAACAGGTAATGCATTGTGGTAGGCAAATATAACCTAACGCTACAAATCCCTAACCATATTCCCAAGCCCGCACGATACGAGCTAGATTGGCGCTAGGCTAAGATCTATGTAGGTTGATGTGCCGGCTATGACGTTAGGTTGGTGGTGATGGGAAGTACTGTAGCTTGGATAGGTACTACATAGTTTGGCGGCGATAAATCTAGGTTCGCATTTGGATATAGATAGGTGCTGGGTTGGTTCCTGGCATGGGTATGTGCTGGGGTGATGGTACTTAGAATAGGCCTAGCCTAGGTCGCTCTTGGGTGGTAAACGGTGCCCGTGCAGGTAAATACAGGCGAGACTACCAACTCTGGGTGCATGATTCACTCACAGCGGTGCCCATGGGCCGCCCATCGTGGGCACTTCGTTGATATGCCGGTGGCGGGTTCTAGGTTGAAGTGCCCACGGTAGGCACTTCGTGGGCAGTTCTTGGGCCGCCCATGGGACTACCCATGGGTAGCTCATGGGCAGCCCATGGTCGATCCATGGTCGGCCCATGGGCGGCCCATGGGTGCCCCATGGGCGTCCCACGGGCGTCCCATGGGCGGTCTAGCGAAACTGCCATTGGTGTGGGAGATTGGGGAGATTAGGTTTCCTCCCACGACCAGCGCCGCGGGCGATTCATACGCGTAGGTCAAACGAGGACGAACGCAACAATGTCTTCTTTGTCTGAAAGAATGTTGGGCACCAGCATCGAACGACAATACACACATTAAGAAGTACACCCTGCCTATCGGTGTCGGCTCTAACATAATTAGATAATGCTGTCATCGCGCGACAATAGGTCACTGTGGGTGCATGTGGGGCCGATTTTTTTTCCCTAGTGAATCCGCCGCAGACCCCACCGACATGGACCGAACCAACAAATGCATATCTTATCCGGGTAGAGCTCGCAATTCACATCGTGCTTGCGTTAACCTGTACAACCAACCTTGCGTTATGCTCTCTTCATGGTCGTTTTGCGCGAGGATGCAAAAAAGAGAGGTGCTACTGAACGGTGCTAGATTACAATAAACGTCCCAGCAACTGTTGTTCAGCTAAACAAACCCTTCTTCTTTCTCCGATAAACTGAAAGACTCGCATCGCCAAGGAACCCAAACCCTAACCCTAGTTACATGAATTCTTCCCGCCGTGCGCAACTAGGCTGACATTGCAGGTAGGTGCGCGTGAAATCAGTATACCACGTGTTTTGCCTCGATGATCTTTGTAAGGGCACATTTTTGTCTCCTCGCCCGTCCTACCGTTCATCAATACACAGGGCGTTTTGTTGTTGTTGCTGCTGGCAAGACGTTGGAAATGCACTGCAGAAGAGAGAGTTTCGGGTGTAACACGGCGGGCTCTTTTCATTTCGAATCTTCAACTTACCGGGGAGGACTTCGCATGCACGTGGCCTAGACAAGGGTATATCTCCTTCTGACCAGCCTTGAGTATATAAGATGTTCGAATTCCGTCATGTCGCAACGTTTCTGTCGGAAACTGTGAAACATCGAGCCACACCCGCTATACTTCTACGCCCCACCTTTTTCACCTACCATCTCTCAAATAGCTGTATACTCGTGGATTCTTCAGGGGTAAGGCGTACCAGATCGAATATGACGGGGGGAGACGGGGGGGAGTCAACCATGCAGCTGTCACGATTGTACGCTAGAACGTCTGCAATCAGCAACAATAGCCACACATGCCTATCTCTAAAGGGACTACTTCAAGTATTTTCCAACATCGTGCCCTTGGTATGCGTATGCGAATCGCGCATCCGTAACCCCACCGCAGTTTATCATCAACGTCATCGAGTTCCGAACGAATGCTTCCAGCCTAATCATGAGGACTTGGGCGCCTGGTGGCGCCAAAAATCCGGAGCCCTTTGTATGAACGTTTTGTTGCACCGTGGTCTAACGCTGCCTGTTTGTGTGAAACTGTTGGGACGACGCTCCCCCGAGCGACAGGAAACTCGCCGCGCACGCCGCGCACGCAAGAGGAACGTATGAGGAAAATGGGGCGAACAGGCTCCACAACTAAGAAATGGACATCAAGATCGAGGCAGGTGGGCATCATATCCACCCAACAGGCAAACATACAGTCTAGGGGATACGCACAGTCTAGGGGTTATCCCAACGTCCGCAACGCCACGAGTCTGTTGACAACGAGGAAGAGGTGGTAACATGTGTTAACATCCTCGATCTTGCTGTTAAGGTGAGCCTGATGTTTACCGCTTGGATGGCTAACGACTTCGCAGGGCGAACCATGAAGGAAGGTTTAGCAGACAACGTAGATTCACATCGTGTTGGCCGTTTCGTTGAAATACATTCACAATGCCGACTGCAGCCGGAAGTATTTGTAGTTCGCACGATGTCAACCGTGGAGTCGAAATCGCAAAATCGTGCTTGCCGCGGGTACCCTGCCGGACCAAACACAATGACGGCAGGGAAGATGTCGCTTCCCACACTCCGTACAACATGTTCGTTCCCCTTTGATGTTTCTCCCGAACGCGCGGCGCAGGGACTCTTGCTGACGATGGTGCTCGTTCAGAACTCCTTGACAATGCCACCAGCCCTAGCCGAGAAATCTCCAATCATTGGACTGAGGGGCGGAAAGGAGGATGAAACAGCAGCAGCAGCAGCAACAATAGCATCAGGGCAAGATTTGCCTCGCCCAAACCGACTACGACGCGAAGGATATCCGTCCTCGCGAGGAGACCGCCAACGTCACCAACAGCTGCGGACAAAGCAGGAGCGTATTCCGTATGCCCCGGTATCATGGAACCACCATGACCAGCAGGAGTGGGGGCAAGAGCACCGAAAACTGGACAGAACAACGAAAGGGGATCCAAAGCTCTCGTTAGAACCAGAGATCCTAGAAGATGGGAATAGTACCTTGATTTACCGCGCTGCCACCACACCTCCAACCAAAGGTATGTGTCCGGTTGCCCTCCATAACTCCAACGCTGCGGTACTGCGAGAAGACCGGGATAACGCCGCGCCGTCGACTGTGATTGCCGGCGCGTTGTCTGTGTGGAAAAGACTGCGGCAGGCCGCAACCGCACCATCTCGACTGCGATGCCCGAGCCCGCCGTGCTGTCTTGTGAGTGTCAAACCTGCTGCCACTGTCACTGGATATCAACATTACCCATAAATCGATTATGAGTGTGTACTGCGGTCGGTTGTTCACTCGTTTCCTCCATTTAGTTTCTGGTCTTACCACTGTGCTAGAACTCCCGCTTTTGGTTTTGCTCCGGCCTGTGCCCACCCACAAGCATGCACCTATGTATCACCTCCACCTGCTCTCTCTCTCTCTCTCTCTCTCTCTCTCTCTCTCTCTCTCTCTGACTCTCCTGCAGGGGATGCACGCACACACGTACCAGGGGGGCGACCTCGGAGAGGAGATGTCGCACATCCAGGGAGCCGTTGTGGTCCGCAGGCCCGATCTGGTGCGGGCCCCCGGATCCCTGGCGCCTGCCCACGACCTTGACTTCGTCAAGACGTTTCAGTCCTATTTCCAGATCGCGCAAAGCTCGCTGCTAAGGTGTGTTGTTTCTCCTTTCCATTGTAGTCCGTTCGTGAGTAATCTTGAGCGAAAGACAACTGAACCCATCTCTCGTTACAATACGAACAGATGGGAGGCTGTGTGACCTCGGATCGGAGCTCATTTGTTGGAGAGGAAAGAATATAACGTTAGGTAGAAATTGCGAGCGAGAGTAGACGGGATGAAGAGAACAATATAATGGTCGCCGATGTGGATGCTCGTTATTGCACAACGTTATGTGAGGTGCGGATGCAACTAGCGTATGCACCTCTGCGTGGATAAGTTGAACTGGAGGATCGGATCTCACAGTACTCCCACCTCCTAGACGTTCTTACAGTTTTCCTGTCGTGTGCGTGGAGATACTAACACCGACTGGCTTATGTTTGGTTGGGCTCACGGTACGGCAGTTCAGGGCGACTGCGGCATGAAACAGTCGGTCATTATTTTTTCGCCTCTCGTGAAAACGGCGTGGCGATTTGTCCCCCTCACGCAACTATGTACGACATATGTTCTCTACCTTCAAGCTCTACCAAGCTTCAAAATGATCGTGAAATCCGACGAAACCCGAAAATTTGCGTTCTTCTCACCCGCTGCCAAATTATTCAGCCTTCTGAAACTGTTAAAAAATCAGGCGACAGCGTGTTGGTCATTAGCATTTGCGTTGTTATAGGAGCGAAATCACGGCTGCCCTTGCAGAGCCATGCTTGTTTATTCCTTAAGAGTCTGCTGAAACAGGCCGTGCTAAGAGTTTTTGCTCTGTTGTCGGAGCTCGCTGCGTCCCTGTAGCATAACGCATCCCCATCCTCTCGCCGCGGTTTTATCATAACCTGTTGGAACAGGCGATTGGTTGAGGCCGACGGGTTTAACTTGACGTCCACGACCCAGCACGTGCTTCCGGCGTTTAAGGAGCTGTTTGTTGCCACTTCTTTCTTAGGTGCCGTTCGTGAGGGCAACCCTGCCGCAGCAGAGTGAGTGACTTCAACCTCTGGTGTCCGAACATACAAATGCAACGTTTTTGTTCTACATATGTTGCTGAAACAATTTCTTTGACCGTCAGTTTTCTTGTGTACCAGGGGCCGCACGGACGCTGCTCTTGCACGCCCGGTCTACTTCGTGTACTGCCCAAACTGAAAAGCTCAAGATGGAGAGAAGCGAAAAATAGTGCACCCGATGCATATGCCTTATTGGTATGGACTGCCGAAATCGAGTATGTTTGGGATCCAGAAATATATGCGACATATCTGATGCCCGGCTACATCGCTAGTACGAGCGAGGCGCTCCCTTTGTTGAGGAACCCGTGTGCGCACGACCGCATGTCACGCCAAGCGGCTACCAGCGCGGCGTGAGCATGGGTTGTGCCTGATTACCCGAAACTCAACTGTCTCTTCGGGCTTATGACACGAAAGCAAGGGAAGTAATGATCATTTTCGAGTGGGCAGGCTCTCCATGATTTGTTCCAAATTTTGAATTCATCCGATCACAACGTTCTTTACAATCCGTAAACTGGTGACACACGTTGGGGTTCTTTTTTTGATGTGCTACCCCCGTTTCTTCGCTCCTTGACATTCTCGTTGGTAACTGCCACACCCGAGCAAGGCTATTGACCCCGTACTGTTCGGGAGAGGACCCAAGGCGAGACATCGAGGAGTGCGTGAGGATCCCTACGTTGGTCAGCATGGCAAACGTGTACACTAACAAGAAGGGGGCCGTGTGGAACGAGAATGTGAGGAAGAGCACCGTTGGGACATTTTGCTAGGTGGAGGGAACGAGTGTGCTTACTCCTTCTTTCTTCGACTGTTTTTTGCCTGGGCGCCCCGGTGTCAAGCGACTAGGTTCTCAATATCGACGGCGTGTGTTGTCACGAGCCCTACAGTAGGTACAGGCATCGATGTACCACATATCCGACAGACACGTGCGTGGTGTTGATTTGCAGCAATCGAAGTGGTACTTCGTGTTTTCCAGGGTGACTGTTTATTGTGCAGACATCCGAACGAAGGCAATGGTGTGTTGTTTTTTATAACGTTGTGGGGGGAAACGGTCCCTTTTATAGTCTGTAGTTTTTCACTATAGAGTGGTCTGAGGCCCTGAGGATGAGGCGGGATGATCCGGAAGCAACAACAGCAACAAGAAGAAGAGTGACGTGCTTGCAAGATAAACATGGAGCAGCAGTTTCTGAACGATACACCTGTTGCTGTTTTGCACCACCAGTTCCTACCACTGTTGAATATTTTCCTGACGACGAAACATCCGTTCTTGCCTCGTCCCGTTGGGGGGGCGGGGGGGATGTTTTTTCAACTTTCCCGATCGACCCTATGCAGGACTTTATTATACCGGTGAATTGTCAGGGACCAGTACGCCATGATTTCGATTTCGCCCGACGAATATCCGCGCATGGTTTGCCGACAAGCCTCCTCAACTACGACAAGGTATTGCAAAAACACTAAATATTAGTAAGAGAATAATGGTGGACGGTAATGTCGTTCGGCCGCGGCGGAAAGGATACTATCATGGAGGGGAGCGTATCGATTGAAATTGGCGGAATTTCGTGTTTGGTTCTTGGCGCATGCGTACGACTTTGCCCAGCAAGCTTGATGCTTTCGTCGAGCACATGGTGGATACCACGAGTTAGTACGGTGACGGCACGCACGATTGCATCGTTGGAATGTGCAGGGGGGACGTTGTTGTGGTAAACTATGTTTTCGATTTTAGCGACTGTTGTTTTGTGTTTGTTGCGCCACACGGTCGAAAAAGGGAAGAAACAATTTTCATGTTGAAACCCACATTACTCTGCGCCCTGCTTGCGGTCGTCGATAGCTGTACATGACATGAAGAAAATCTGCGTCTTAACTCAACCATTCTTGAGTAGTTTCGGTTGACACCAAGCCAGAGTTGCACAGCAAAGCCTATAGGCGGCCCACCATTCCTTCTGCGTTAAATTTAGCCCCGACAACACGACAGTATCGACACGAGAATTGGCCGCATCTCACGCTGCACATTAAATGGACAGGGCTTGAAGCCGAACAACGTACATACTGTTGAGCCGATCACTCAAGTTTCAGCTTGTCGTCGAATCGGTCATGCGTCTAGCCCTCCTCCGTGGTTGTCGAGCTACATGGTCTTCAGACCCATGAACCTATCAGCGTCTCCCTTCGGCTTACCGCTGTCCGACCATCAATCGCCTGTGGCTGCCTCAGGTGTTCGTGATGACCCAGGAGTGGACCCCGAACTACTACCACTTTACGGTGGAACATCTTCCGCGGATCACTTTGGGGCTAGATATCCTTCTCGAAAACCCAGAAATCATGGTGAGTGCTGCGGTATGCCTTCCCCGTTTTTCACCACCTAGACTACATTTTCAGTTTTTTATGCATGCCATTTTGTTCAAGGTCGCTGGAAACATGGCGAACAAACAGTCGCCGTTGCTAAAAAGGGCATTGCGGGGGATCGCAAGGAATCATGTAGCTCTTGGCACCCCGGGCCGTGTGCGATTACCAGTATCCTGGTGTATGTTGCGTGACGCGGAATGCAGGATCCCAAGTTGGGGAGCAGGAGGACGAATCATGTGGCTGTGTCTTGGTCTCAGTTCCTTTGTCATTACCCGATCTGATGAGGTTATCGCGAACGACGCCGGTGTGGCACATGCGTCTCACTGCCGTAGAGGGGGGGACGTAGCCTTCTTTTCTGGCAACGAGCAACTAGACTTGCGCAGCTACCGCATGGCTGATCGGCTAGGGTTGCGTTTTCGAGGTCACAAGGGCGATCAGGATGGGAGAGGGAACATTCGAGTGCGGAGTCGGGGGTAAGAGCGAGTGGCGGGGCAGTCGGTCTTGTTGTGGAGCTGTTATCGTGTCATGCGACGTTGCCCGACTCCGCACAACTATTGTCTTTCCGCGAGAAGGAAGGGGCGGTACCCGTGGCGAAGTACACTAGAGCGCTTACTGCGCTAAGAGAAGTCGTCGCCGAGTCCGGGCGAGACCCCCCCAACACTATGCATCACATTCGCTACGAATCGCGGGCGCTACGACTTTGGCATCCGGCGGGGACATTTCTGAGCGGGTAATTCAAAGAGAAGGAAAACGTTCTTCGGATATATACAAGCAGTACGCTCAGAACAAAATGGGGGATTCGAGAAGGGTGTCGCGAAAGCTGACGAATGGGAGTAGGTCAGAAGAATGACACCGGGGGAAGGCACGACATGGGGAACGAGGGGTCGACTGCGCGTAGGCAGTAGTCTGGCTGACTGCACGTGGGCAGTAAGTAGCCTGGAGTAGACCTCGCCTTGGGTGTAGTTAATGGTCGAGTACCATTTGGGGACTTGGTCACTCCACACCCCTGCTTGCAATTGCAGTAGCCGGCTTCCCCCCGGCTGGATGTAGCAGATTTGCGAGCAGAGAGAGGGGGAGGATAGAGACAATTTTTGATGGGGAATCAGGCGCGATGCTTGTGTGTGCTTCAGCGCGGGTTCCCACCCCTTCTCTCTCTCTCGATCCTTGGTGATATAGAAACCGATAATGACCAAGCAACAAACAGCATGGATACTCGAAACGTCAGTTGAACGTTTGTCTTGGCTGGTCGTCAGCCGTGAAAACTGGTCGGAGCTCCGACTTGTCCAGAGCAGCTCCTGACGGCTTCACCGAAAAACCCGACAAAAACCAGCATCGATAGATACTTCTGCGCATGTTTGCCACAAGTTACAACCCACACACGCTGCCCACGAGAACCCAACGTGAGGAGTCATGCACGTGTATCTTCCCTGAAAAGCAGCTCGACGAGCAATGTGGGATATCTGTTGGTACCGGTGCTGTTCCTGGCCCTTCGGTGCCTATTCCTACGCAAATTCCCTTGTCGTTGGCGATCTCGCCCTTCTTGAACTCCGCTGCTGCCCCTATTTGTTGCTCTGTTCTCGTCAGGTCATGACATATGTGTCTTCATTTTCTCTTCGATTACGCGCACTATTTGGCGAGACACGGACAAACGCTAGACTAACCGTTGGTCCATGACATCAATCGTCACATACGGATGGCCTTTTTCTCTCCTCGTGCTGTTCTTGCATGCCCGAACTAGACCTCGCTCGATTTCGGATGCCTATTCAACGAAACCTCGTTTCGGATGTAGCACCAATGAGACATATTTGACGTGATGCTATTGACAACGTGCTCCGCGTGTGTTCGAACAACTGCATGCAGATCTCAATGCATTTCTACCAGCGCGACCCACTACATCACGACATTTCGGCAGTGCAGGAAGTTCAAATGGAGATGCTTGAGATTCTGGGAATCAACAGAAAGCGCGTCGTCTTTGTAAATACAGAGGTGGGGAAACAAGCACATGCTGTCGGTGATGGGTCTTAGTCGCTGTCGTTGTTTACCGCAGGGCATATTCGTGCGTTCACTAGACTGTCTTGATGCATTGAACTCCCAACCAACAAGAGATGTTGCGGTACAAAGAACGTCGGGTTAGGAATAGAAGGTTTGACATGCCATCAGACAGTTTCAAGCATCAATGGCTAAGATCGGATCTACTACGTCAGGCATGTGCCAATAATTCAATCGCGAGCTGGGTAAACATGAGCTTTGCGTAGTGGCCGTCGTGCCCGAAGGTTCGGGGGGAAACACCGAAAATAGGTCGGGACTCCGATAGATGATCGCTCCATCGAGCCACGTGTTTTTCGAACTTCGTTGACGGTACACCATTGTGATCGTCTCAGGAGTTAAACGATCGCTCCATCGAGCCACGTGTTCTTCGAACTTCGTTGACGGTACACCATTGTGATCATCTCAGGAGTTAAACGAGAGTCAGTTTACTCTTCTCAAGACTCGTAGCTATAGGGCAGGATTAATGGTGAAGTATCTGCCTTCGTCCTGCTGTTTGTTAGGTTTGATATTACGGATGAACTTAAGGCGGCGACCCTAGATATAAGTATTGGTACCACCGGGACTAGGGAGGCACCGCAGTAGAAGTTTCTTGTTTCAGCTCGTATGCAGGTGCTTTGAATGTTGAATCCGTCGCCTGTACCCTTGCGCACAGATTCCGCCACGCCCCCCTCCCTGGCGTGGAGGTTAAAGCGAAATTGGGTTGTGTATTGTGGTCCCGGTGAGACTTGCGCCTTTTCGTATCTTAAGCCGGTTAGCACAGGTAGTTTGAATTCGGTGCCTGGATATCAACGAAGCATGCACACCCCTCGCGTGCGCTGACACTGAATCGTTTCCATCTGTCCGCCGGTCAGCTCGACTGAGTGACGCTTACTCATTCACAATCAGCAACTCGTTTTGTACTACTCGATACCCGCTCGCTGCAACGCTAAATCCGCTTTACCTCTCGGTCTCGTTTCCTTCCCATCCCAGATGCATGCAGAACTAGCGATTGTGCCGACTAGTACTAATTGCGGCGACCCCGACCTGCAGATGGTCAACATGCTCAGGAACAGATTCTTGCAGGTGGGGAGTAATTAATCGATTCAGTGGGGGCGGTTGCGGGCACGGGATTCTTGGTGATGTTCGTCGTGTTTCTGGCAGGAGTTGCCCTTGCTGTTTCTTTTCCAAATATTTCGTGTTTTTTTGTTTTTTTCGCAAAGATATCGATGCATGTTGGAGTCGTCCTGGTCGGGATGGGCTGGCATTGCCCCCTCACGAAGCAGAACTTATCCACGTCATCGGCGACTGCTGCACTGTCTTCGCAGGGCCTTTTCCCGACCACGAATGGCGTTCCTCCTGCGCCACCCCGCCCGGTGATTGTGCTTGTTGTGCGCAACAAACTTCGGGGCCTGATGAATAACGAAGAGGTACGTGTACGTGCATCGTACACGCGCACGTTTGTTGGTCACTAAGTAGTATTGACTGCCGTTGCGTTCCTATCGGATGTTCGATGGACGGCGGCCATCTCTCAACCTCCGGTGAGGCTGATATCCTACACAACGGCGATGCGTATGGTGCACGCTAAGCCCGCCACATAGAAATACTGGCCGTGATAGACAGCGAAAGGCCACTGGGTTAAGAGAGAAGGAAAAGCACAAAGAGAATGAACCCTACAGAAATGTATGTACGTGGCTAGCCCGCTCACAGAGGGTCCACGGGGGAAGTCTCCTAGAACTTCGAGTGATCTCGAAGGACAGTTGGGTTGTACGGACGAGGTTCTCCGATGCGCAACATCGATTAGTTGTCTTTGCTTGCATGTTTTTTAGTCGTGCATCATCAGGCAGTGCACGACAGATGGGCAGTGAGTAGAATAGTACAGACTCACGAAATTCTAAGCGTAATTTACAGGGTGGATGGGGTGTAGCCCGTAGTCATAGTACCCAACGCATCCCATGCCGTTGGTATATGTTTTCATATCGCGATCCGACGTTGGCGAAATAGCGGAGTTTCTTTTTCTCGCTTGGTTGACTTATGCTGGCTAGTCATCATGTCCTGTCCGATGCAACACCAACAACTGACAATAATTCGAAAAATAGGTGAAAGAGGCCCTGGAGAGAAATTTTCCAAGCTTCGACGTGGTGGAGTTCTTCGGCACAGGTTCTGTCCGTGACCAGCTCGAGACCTTCGCAACCGCGGCCATGATCATTGCTCCCCACGGGGCCGGGCTTGCCAACATGATGGTCGCGCCCCTGCACACTCCGGTGCTGGAGATAGGGACGTTAGCGTGCCCCCCCTGCTTCTTGAGGCTCGCGTTGAAGGTACGGATTGGCCATAGGGATATGTTGCGCTATAATGAATAAGTGGCCGGGAAGGGTGGGGAATACTTATCCCCAACTGCTTGTTTCTTCGCTGACGTTAGTGTGCTGCACGAACAAGTACTAGCATCCGAAATGGTGCTTATTGTCGATGTGCCGGCGGTGTTGAGTGCGCTGCCAGGCGGCAGGGCATCCGTGCAGTGTACGATATTTACTGAACGTATAGCAGAGAGCGCGTAGCCTATCCGAAACGGTTTGTGGTTCATTTCCGAATAATTGGTTGCTTCGTAGGTCTTCATAGTTGTGATAAGATAGTTGCTTCTTTGGCCGACGTTAGACAATGAATCACTCACCACCAATTGCCGATCCGGACCGCCTTGTTCATGCCGCACCGACCGAACAACGTTTCCCGCAACCAACCATGACCGAAAAATAGCTCCACCACATCTACGCGAGACATCCCGGGGGCGAGTGGTCACAGACGTGCCATGCATGGTACCAGCCAGACGTCGATGAAATCGTCGAACTAGCAAGGTGAGCGAAACCTTGCTGGCGTTTCGTATACTTCTAGTGGTGTTCGTGTTCGTGTTATTGTTGTGGCAACGTATTATTATTTTGTCACATAAGAGTCCCTAGGCGTCTCCCGATGGCTGGCCGGTGTGGCTGCAACTAACATGTTTCGCATTGAATGACGACATGTGGTTAAGTCGTATATTCCGATTGTTGGGATGGCGAAGCTGGGGTTTGCAGCCGTGCCCAAGGCAGCTCTTCGCTGAACGGAGTGTAGTGGTCGGAATTATCTGTAGACGAAAGTACTCGAAATGGGTGGCTTCAAGGTGAGTGGCACGCATGGGAAACAGCCAGCAAGTGGGGGTTGGCTCGGGACGAATGTCGATGAAAGTTCCACTCTCGGCAAGGTTTCACGATCAGCGGGTCGTGCTCACCTGCATGGGCAATATTTCAAATCTTGTTTCGGAAGAACTCGTCACTGAGCATACACAGTCTGGTCTACCCACACTTGCACTTCACCCCCCCCCCCCCTCTCACCTAACGCTAATCTTTCCATGGTTTTTTCGAAACCGTTGCTTTCTTGATGCATCCGAATGTTTGCAGGGATCTCCTCGAGGCAAAACGCCAGGTAGGGAATGCCCTGGGGCTCCCTGAAGTAGCAGAAGCCCATCAAGAACACCCGTAGTTTTCACGGTCCACCTCCGCCCGGCTTTACTGTTTTTCTCTTTTTCTCTCTTTTTCTGTGCCAGATGATCTTGTCTCTGCTTGCGTTGTGAAGTACCAAGATTGAACCAAGGGGGTGTACCTCTTTCTCTCCGGCCCATGATAGTGACTCCTAGACTCAGTTGATACCTCGCATAGCGCGCAGAGGGAGTGGAGGACTCCAGAATATCTGTCGTTGATTTCTATTGACTTGCGGACCCCTCGGGGCCAGTTTATTTGAGTGTACCTTTTTAGGGTAAGTTAACCTGTGACCACGGGAATGGACCGCGTCGAGTGTTGGATCAGTACGGACATACGAAGGTACTGGGTAGACAGAGATCGGAACGGTTTTTAATGTGAAGACAAAAACAACAACAACACAACTGTTTCTGGGAATCCTCTCAGCTACCGGGGAGTGATGTTAGACTTCCTATCGCGCACGGTCGCGTCCTGCACAGCCGGGACGGAATGCCTCAAATGTGTGCCAAGGCACCGGGACCGGGCAGGGGGGGCTTTTTGCCCACTTCTGCCGATCCAGATATGCTCTTTTGAGTGCGGAGGACAAGGTCCTCTCCGTAATCCTTTGGCGCAAATTCATCGCCCTCTTGCATGGCGATGTACACCTCCCTGAGGACGAAATTCAATGTTGTGTGTTTTTTCAAATATTATTGCCTGTGTACATGCTTGTAGTTGACCTATCTTTTTTTTCGACTCGTGATGCTTTGGGCTTTGTGTGTGGTCGTTCATGCGTGTTTGATTTCCGTGATTATGTTGTATAGCCCGCGCTAAGCAGCAGGCCGAAATCAAGCCAATAAACAACACGTTGGGTCCAAGGTCCTCTGGCAGTGCATTCATGTGTTGTGTTTTTTTGTGAGCGTCACCCGTGATGCTCACCTGGTAAATGAACCGGCGTCTTCTTCCTGCACGAATGTCGCGAAAGTTCCTTCTAGGCCTCGGGCGATGTGTGCATCTGTAGGTATCATGGACCAGGCTAGGGGGCCGACCAATGAAAATACGAACACGCTTTCAATCATCGGGGTCCCCCGGCAGAGAGAGGGGGTTCTGACAAATGTTCCCAGATAAATGTTGGCCTGCTGATAACCCATGTTTGGTTGGATCAAATTGTTTTTGCGGGTTGTTCAATGGCAGCAGTTTCGATGGTGTGTTGGACTCCTGCCCCCTTCGGGATATGCCCTTGTCTCTTTCATTTTCTAGTAGTGTGCTGGCGCTTCCGTTGTTACTGAGCACGTGACACGGGCCAGATTTGCTCAGGTGATTCCATGTGACGTCAGAAACTAACAATAGCGGTGATTTGTTGCAATTTAGTGCTTTTCACTCAGACCCTAACCCTTGGGGTATGGCAGACCCAAGACCGTGTGCACCTCCTCGTGTTCCTGATGATGCGTTTATCGCGCCATTGCCCACCTGGATCTTGTGTTAAATAGGTGTTTCTTCTCTAAAATATACAAATGCGTGAATCCTGTTTGCAATGCTATCCACGTTACTGCTTATTTCAATATGTTGGGATGGATTGTTCAGTGTAGCCATGCATATGAGGCGAGCGTACCGCGTTTGTTTCACGTCATTCTGAGTAAGGACTGGTTGTTAGGAATGCGTGCGGGAATGACGGCCGAGCCCTCTCGTTAAGAAATGAAGTCATGCAAATCCCTTGTTTGTCTTAGGACGGATCTCTTGAGATCGGGAGGCAAGGCCGTAGCAGCGTAGTAGAACCTACGAGCCAGTGCCTGGGTGAATGACGAGCAAGTGCCCTATGTTGGCTCAGCTTTCGAGTTTGGGCCACGGGGCCTACCTCATATTTTACGCTTTTGTGCGCCACGTTTGTTTGTTGTCGACGAAATGGTGGTGGCGTTCATTTTCTTTTTCGGAAATAAATGCGTTTGCTAATGGATAGACAGCAGACAATAGGTATTTCCCCTTTGCTAATGGATAGCAGACAATAGGTATCATCATGTTTTTATATCCATCGTTTGTTGCAGCAAGGGAAAAATGTTGTTGCGGGTGTTATGAGTTACAATCCATCGAAGAGTAGATCAACCATTCATTCGTCCGAAGACTATTACATAATATTAGCTTCTGTGTTCTAGTATATGTATACAGCAGGAAGAATTGTACAGCCTAGCTAGGGTGTGCGGTTAGATGTCATAAATGACAAATCACGCATATGAACGTGCCACAAAGGGCACGTCATAACACCAGTCAGTTCAACTAGGATACTTTGGCTACCACATGGGGCCGTCTCGAAGCACTGGCAAATATTAGGAAACAAAATACAAACACAGAAAGACTACATGTATGTACCCATTCGAGATAAAATACCACACACATGAGTCGAACGGCATGTGTTGAGGTCTTCACAGTGAATGGAGGGAAACCGGCTGGGTACTGGGCTTATTTGGAGTCTACACACTGCAGTTTTTCGATCAGTGGATGCCAGATGCCAGCAGGTACTAGACTAATCACAAAATCGCGGTATAGGTACAAATAAATACCACAAGACATCTCCTCCCCCGTATTGTTCTTTACCTACTGGGTCAACGACAAAATTATCGGGGAGAAACCCTCCGCTATGATATTCTGCCTTCACAGCAATACGTCGCAGTGTCTCTTGACAACTTGCTGGATTTTACTTATTTCTGCTGTTGTTGTTGTTGATCTACGATACACGGCAAAACTTCCAAATAAATCGAGGCGGATCAACTCCCCTATGGCTTGCTCGGTTGGGTGACGCGTCTAGCCCCTGTCGGCTCGTTGAAGCCATCGATCTCGATAGCATCCACATTGTAGAACGTCAGCAGTGAAGGATATCATCAGCAGCACATGTAGAGAAGAAGTGGTGCGGGTATCTTAACTGGTACGACCACAAAAAACATGCTGAAAAATGTTTCCCACCTGGGATAAATAACGTATATAATCACCGAAACCACACTGAAACCCTTGGAAGATGACAATATATATAGCGAAGCTGCGCTACATGTTGTCATCTTCCATAGCCCACACCCGTCCGCCGATATCCATGTTCGCCTGCAGACCACTGCTGTGTACTCCAGGCACCCGGCCACGCGGAGAGCAGAGGAACGGGGAACAGGCGCAGGAACTGCCACGCGCCACATCTCTATCCGCCCGCGGATGCTTGCTCTGACACTATCGTCATCATACGTACCAGTTGGAGCGGGAGCTGAGGAACCATCCAAGAGACTCTTAATTTTTTCAAGTGGAAACTGCTGTACTTCTACAGCGTTCTACAGGCCGGTTCTACAGCAGTACGTCGCTCACAGGCTGGTGCAGGTGACAGGCTGGTGAGGTGCGAGGTGTGCGCGTTGCATCATGACTTGTTGTATGCATAGCATCGACCGCGCAAACCGGCTGACCCGTGAATAGACATCAGTGCCAGCAGGGGCAAAGCCAAGGGGGGTCAAAACTCGAAAAAAGCCTCCTGGTTGTTGTTGTTGTCTTCACATTAAAAACCGTTCCGATCTCTACCCGGCACCTTCGTATGTCCGTACTGATCCAACACTCGACGCGGTCGATTCCCGTGGCCACAGGTTGTTGTTGTCTTCACATTAAGGTTAGGGTTAGGGTTAGGGTTAGGGGTTAGGTTAACATACCCTAAAAAGGTACACTCAAATAAAAAAGCCCCGAGGGGTCCGCAAGTCAATAGAAATCAACGATGATCGATAATAATTCGGGTGGCTCAGTTCTGTGTGCTGGGAGTGTAGAGCAGCTCGGCCATGACGGGCCGTGGATGGGTAGAAAACGTGTTGGGAAACGTGTTGGGAAACGTGCTGTATTCTTCGGGGGTGTGCTTGCGCTCGTAAATCTGTCACGGCATCAAGGACGCGTCACGCTCATCACGGTTCGTTGAAGTACCAAACGCATCTCTCTGAATCTCCATCAAACTCTTCTCACTTCGAAGGAAATTACCCAGAAAGTTCTGGTGGTCCATCCGCATCTCATCACTGCAATTTCCGTAGGTATGTGTACCAAAGACAACCCGTCGTACTATGCTACGAGTACACCCCCAATATATCGAACAGCCCCCCTGCTCGTATGCATCGTCATGCTTCGGCAAATACCAATCCTCTTCTGTACCATTATCTCCAAAACAAGAAAAAATATCTTTCAAGACAAATCACAAGCAAGAAAATCCCAACACAACCAAAACTCCTCCAAAACATTCAAGAAATATCCCAACACAACCAAGACTCCTAGAAAACAACCAAGAAAAATCCCAACAATTCCAACACTCCTACTACCTTCACCAGACTCTCTCTTTCTCTTGTCCAATCTCGTCTCTCTCTTTCTCTTTCCACTACAGCATACGAATCGACCCCAAAACACTCCTTCACTGCAAGTTCATCACAAAGTCACGGTGCAACGCAAAAGACTCCTTCCTTGCTAATAGCCTTCGTCAAGAAGTCTGCATGCTGAAATTGCGTCGGCACATGAGTAATTGAAATCTATTTCTTCTCTACCAGCTCCCTAATAAAGTGATGCCGTACATCGATGTGCTTCGAGTTGGAGTTCGTGATCGGGTTGTGCGCAATCTGAATCGCT